GCCGCTGGATTAATTTTCATTGGTTTTATATAATCGTTGATACAACAAAATTAAGCCTCTCCATTTGACTCTCTATCCTGACAGTGTATCTCTTGTTTCTAAACCTTGGAGCGAGATAAAAATTCACACAAGATGTTATTGTCTGGTTCAGGAGGAGCAATTCTCTTCTCTGGTTCATCGTCAGTAAATCTGTTGTCTGAATCGAGATTACAATTCTCTTCGGCAGCAGGTCATCTGGCTTTTTTCGGCGTCTTACGACACTGGCATCCCGTGCTATCCTCCTCGTGGCTTCTGATCGATTCTTGTAACTTCAACTCCTACTGCTGGCTTCAACATATCAGTCGGCGTATATGCATGTCGCTTAACTCTCACCACCTGTCAAAGCTCATTACATATTCATCAATTAATTATTTTCTCCAACACTGGAGACCTGATTTTGAACATAAAACAAAGCGATCTTGTATTTCAAAACCATAAACTTTGTTTTCATCTTCCTATTACGCAACAATTATTGTTTACGTAAACAAATTTTTGTGTTTAAAAATTTATTTCAGATCGTCGTTTATAACCTAAATAATTCTTTGTACATTTTCAAAACACACTCCAAATTATTTACATTTCTCAAATCATATTTTGGACTCCACATTCCATTCGGCATTTCTGATTATCAGAAAGGAAAAAGAATTCCCTTTTTTTTTTCTTCGGTTCATATTTCAATTCCTGTTTTGCACATTAACGTTTTCTTGTTTAACGTTTCCAAGCTTTCCAATTCTCCAATTCTATACGTGTTTTTCACATGAAACTTTTACCCCTATTTTTATACTGCCAGTGTCAGGATAGTGTCACATTCCTTTAAACTATTACCGATGACCTTGGTGGTGCTCAACAAAATCTAGAGATTAAGATTATATCAATCTAAATAAATACATATTAAGGGATGAGTACTTTGCTATTCTTACTTCTTTAGAACTTCTTCCGACAATTATTGAAACTAATTCGATTCAACAGCCTCCTTTGGGTTTAGACTTCCTTCGTCTTTCAATTTCATTACACCGTTTCTCATTTTCTTTTCTTCATTCTCTTCCTGCTTCTTCATCTTTTCTTCTTCTTCTTCATCAAAAAATTGCCTTATCACACAACGCGTAAAGTGAATGCGAGCGTAACTGTTACTTTCCTCTCTAAATAATTCAGAAATCCAGAATTTCAATCATACGATGCCAAAGTAATCAACGAAAAGAGATTATTTTAAAGATAAGCTCGGTAATTTCTTTAATGGTTAATTTGCCCAAACCTCTACTTTGTGAACATTTAATAAGTTGGATGTTAGTAGGATATGGAAAAGTGGAGATAATGTGACAAACTAGAAAAACTTGTTTAAACAACGCGTTTCGCTTTCTTAAAGAAGGCGCATTGTGCTCGGATTGACAGAAACTCTCAAAATTTTAAATCCAGCTAATTTGAACGGCTTTACTACGAAAAAAAAAACCCAACTTTCTGGCTGAGGATTCTGATAAAGCTATTATAATAATCCTCTTTCCTAAAAACAATCCAAGGCATTTTTTTACACACTGGGTTTGTCTCTCAAGCCTGCTATAAGATGGTGAAACGTGGTGTCTGGACAAGTTTTTCCAATTTATCTAATTATCTACATATTTAATGTTAAACGCACTTTCGTACAGGTAAGAAAAACAGTAAATAAAGATCAAACTCATTAGCTCGACTAAGAATGTGGGCAATGCCCATTGGATAGGAAGAGTAACACTCAAATCCCACAAAGATTGTATTAGGCTGGATTTTGCAACATATTAACATTCTGATTAACTTATCTGATTTTATTAAACTTGAGACTATGCATAAACACCGGCCATGTTCATCCTTAAATCTACAAAAATATTGGTAGTCAATACACGAGCCTACGAGCATGTACCTGGATGGTGGACATTTCTAGGAGGGTCTAAAAAAAGTATAGCTCCGTCCAAAGATAGCGCCTCTGATGCAAATTGTAATACTGTTCAATAATCTACTTCAGAGTAATCTCTACAAAATGTGATAAAGATATCACTCTATTAGAAAAACAAAAATATAGAATGAAATTTGAAAAGTCTATCCTATTCTCTGGATGAACTCAGGAAAAAAATACATCACAGCGGTATATGACCCTATTAATAAAGCTACTGTATTGACCTTACAGCAGAATATGGCGGCATTAATAGAGATTTCTTATTCCTAACAATTAGAAAACGTCTTCTAAGGTTTGACGCCATTGAATTTCAAGATTTAATAGAACTAAATCGGTTCTCCCAAATCGTAGTTTGACACGGAGGATTTGGTTGATTTTATTTAGCGGCATATCAACAACTTTATGGGTTATTTAATGCCGAAATCTAAATATATTGAACACAATTTTATGGCTTCATCTAAATATATTTTTAACGGAATTGTTTACCTTTAACTACAGATAAAATGATTTGTTGGTTATTTTGTATTAACATATACCGTTGGTTATTCTATTTAAAAATGTTTTGTTGGTAATTTTACTATAAACATGTGTTGTTGGTAATTTTTTATATAGAAATATATTGCTGGTATTATTACTATAAAAATGTATCTTTAATACTTTCATAGTATTTTGTTTTTATTTGGCTGTTCACTATTGCTCATAGCTGGGACCCTAACAGGCGCAACCACCCCAGGTTTGGCTGGACCTTGGAACAACAGCAATTAAGAGGTTGTTTAACGCTCCTCAAAACCTCGAATCTCCTGATCAGAGGCCTTATCGACGGGGGAGGAAATGAGCGCCCTAATATATTTAATTTCTAATATAATATATTTTAATTTCTTTCAAGATTATGCTCTGTGTATATACAAGCAGAGATATGAAGAGATTGGCACTGACCATTTAAATATCCTAAACCACATCCCAAATGAATATAATAATAACATCATTTCCGCTTTTCCTTTCCAGGTCAGATGAGGGTGTCATAGGCATTCATATATAAGAATAATCAACATCCTCTACCAAGTATAAGAAAAAGCAACATCCTCTACCAAGTATTCAAAGAAATAGGACTTAAGATAAACCTTTCCAAAACAGAACTATGATCTAAAACTGGAATAAAATCACTGATGATATACACCTTTGAGCAAAATAATTGAAATAACCGCTTTGGCTTCCTTTTTCCCAACATACAGTTAATTTTAGACCCACTGGAGTGACAGGGTGTAATCAATTTCTATTTTTCCTTAGATTAGGTTATTAGTAGTGGTGTGCAGTAATATGAATTTATTTTCGGGGTGTGTGATGAAATTTGTTTGACCTTGAAATATATTGCGTCATCCGTGATTGCATCAGATTTTTATCACGCCCAGACAATATTGTCTCGAATGTCGATTAGTTGTCCTACGACCATTGTCTGCGATGGTCATTACTCCAAGGTATCACACGAAAATTGTAATTCTGCACAAACACACTGGCAAGCCTTACCAGTGAGCAAATCAAATTGTTTTAGACTGGCCCGGAAACTCTCCTGATTTAAATCCAATCGAGAATCTGTGGCCAATCTGAAAGGAACGACTTCGTGGAATGGACGTACGAAGTACTAATATGAGCAATAGGTCATGTTTCATAGGAAAATACAAAAAGTAAATAAATTGTTTCAATTTACTTGTACAAGAGTGTATATAATGAATCTATCATATAAATTCAGTATATGGAATTAGTAAATACTCACTATTTCAAATGTCTTCGTGAATGAAACACTTATAAGAACATAGTATAGGAGATAAGGGAATTGAAGATAGAATAGGCTGCATAGTGGTAGTTTTGCACAATGCAGCAAGTTGTTACAAATCTAAAACTTTAACCTAATAACTAGAGTCATAGTCTTCATAGAGATGTCATGCATGGCACCAAAGTCGTTCAGAAATATTTAAAGTGCCAGCAGTATACAACCGTCTTCTCAGATCAATGATTAAAAATTGCTTCCAACGAATGAAGCCTGTAGGACTTACAAAAGAACATCTTTCTTCGCACCTTGTGGACTGGTACTACAGAATCACAAAGAACTGTATTAAATAATAGAACATCACTTGAGGATTTTCAACAACAGGAACAGCCAAAATAGATGTTACATATAACTCAAAGAGGAAATAATAACTTTACAGATCTGTTGAAGTTCCACATTACTTCAAAGAAAAAAGGTTAAAAAGGAAGCCATCATTTCAATACTAATAACATGGAACCCGAAGAAACTAATTTTCCTGAAAAAATGTTTAAAGATTTAAGATAAATATTTTATAAATTTCAACCGCCAGGAGAACTGGCTTCTCGATTCACGAATGCTGAATGAAAACAGCAAATATTACCGTGACCATTGCCTAGTGGCTGGAATATTCGCTTTCTGACCATTAAATCCGGGTTTGAATCTCATGAGTCAGGAAGGAGACTTCTTGATGTTATCAGTTTGGAGGAGGTGAACCCAGCGGGCGGCAACTTTGGAAAGTGGCTGAAAACTATACTACGAGTTGACCAAAGCTTTGTGAGTGAAATTGGGTAGACGGATTCCTAGGGAGCCGTCGGTGGTTATGCTAGCACGAAGTCATAAGTCATCGTGACCGAGAGTTTGAGCGTGTTCGCCCTGTTCAGACTATTTGATCACGCGCTCTCTCCCAGAAACTAGCAAAGGTCCGCTCAGTATAGTTGCAGTATAAACCACAAGTGGGCTATGAGGGTGTTGAACAAACACAAATATGGCTGAGCAGGTGTCTTCAAATGGGAATTAGCTAGCCGCTCTCGTCGACTGGCATCTTTGGTTTCGAGTGGCTGTGCCAATGATTAATTATCAATAACTGGCATTTGATCCGCGCTTCTGCGTCGGGCATTGAGCTAGTATGATTGACCATTGATACTAATTAGTGAATTCATTTGTGGCTGAGGGTTTCATGCTTATGCCGTAGCCAAACTAAGATTATTATATAGCAAGAGATTACAATTATTTTGCTCATAGCAGTTTATTAAATGGCGTCTTGACCTGAGAAGAGTTCTTTTGCATGACAAAATAAATTGCTTCAACAAAGGCCAACAAATACACTGCTGATTTGAGTGATGAGATCAAGAAGAGTCTATCTGAAGGTAACCATCGTAACAATATGTCTTGGAAGAGAGAGAGAGAGAGAGAGAGAGAGAGAGAGAGAGAGAGAGAGAGGCGCACGAAGAGATTTATCGATTTATGGAACTCTTTTGTGCTGTAAATTCGTTTGTGACTAGATTCGTTGAGCGAATTGAGCTCTCTTCATAATGGATGACAGAATGCATCGTTATTTGTACATATAGGTCAAGATCAGCCTTTTCTTTTACTAGAACCTTTGTCAGAATGCATACATTATTAATATTAGTGTGTGTGTCGTAATATTATAAAATATAGGCGTGGTGTCCAGAACCGATGGAAGACTTATGAAAGAAAAATAAATCTGTCTTATATATTGAAAATGATTGTTAACTTGATTTGTACTGAAAAAAAGGTGGGAGGAAATTTATTTTACATCTAAACGTTACAAAGTTTAACAGCAGAAAGTTATGTGTCATTGACAAAAGGCTCAGTTTTAAAAGCATTCATTCAACCCATTTCATGATATCTAGTTAATCTTTCCTTTCGCATATATTTAAGTTTAACTTATTTTGGTATAAGTCCACTATTGTCAAATCTTAGCTTAGTATTGCACGGAGCGGTAATATTAGGGCACCCAGTGAGGATTGAACTTATTAATATTAATATTATTATTATTATTATTATTTGGTCGAGCTAGATCGGACATTTATGAGTCTGTCACGCCAAACATTACAGTCTTTTTTTTTTTTTTTTAAGCATTTCACCCCAAGCAAGGCGGGAAGCCACTAGGACGCAAGGGGTTACAGAAAATTTATAGCAAGATCAGATAGGAGTGATAGAAGAAAGGATGAGGGTAGTGGATAAATTAAGGCAACTGGAGATGTCGATTGACATTACACTTGAATAGCTGCAGATTATAGCACACAGGGAAACAGGAGAAGGGAAGGGAGTTTCACAGGCGAGAGGTGCGAGACATGAAGCTATTAGAGTAGAAGAGACGGCTACATTTAGGAGTTTCGACAGTGAAGGGTGAGAGCGGGATGCCAGCCTCGTAGGGCGCTGGAACTCATGACGTCTGGGAACCATCGAATGCAGCTCCTCGGAGCAATTTCCATGAAAGTATTTGTAGAAAAGACAGAGAGAGGCGACGGCGCGTCTGTGAGAAAGTGACTGTAGACGAGACGCCAGGGTAGGGCCAACCATATTGCATATCCGCCTCTGGAGCATATCAAGAACCCCGAGGCAAACAGAAAGGGCTCCAGACCATATATGGCAGCAATACTCCATGCAAGGGCGAATTGTGGATTTGTAGATCCGGAGGATCGACTCCGGGGAGAAAAACTTCCTAGCGCGGCTCAGGGAGCCAACTTTCCTCGCAGTGGACGAGGCAATTGACTCGATGTATTTATTCCATCTCAGGTCAGCAGTCAACGTGAGACCGAGAAGCCGACGAGAGTTGCTCTTGAGAAGTTGAGCGTCAGACATTCTAATGGAGGGAAGGGAAGGCTCTCTGTGGTGATTAATAGAGAGCAGTTTTGTCTTCGAAGCGTTGAAGTTGACCAGCCAATTCATGCTCCAGTTCACAATCGATTGGAGGTCCTTTTCGAGACGCACGGCCAGGTGAGTTTTGTCAGCGAGACTAGATTTGTTTTTGAGGCAGGAATAAATTGTGGTGTCATCCGCGTAGATGCCAACTTGGGAAGTTACGGCGTCAGGAAGGTCATTTATGTAGATAAGGAATAGAGTGGGGCCTAGGATGGAGCCTTGAGGAACACCTGCGTTCGTGCATCAAGATCGGAAGGTCAATTCGGTGGCATTCTGTGTCATAATATAGCAGATCAATGTAGGTGGTGCTGGGCGATCAGCACGTCTTGCGCCATGGCCAGGTATCCAGAGCAGGAGATCATTGGCAATTTCTTGTTTTACTCGTCAGTAGTATCCTTTAAAGCGTATTCCGCGTTCGCGTAACATTGTAGAAATATCAGGGATGGGTCCATAGAGTTGTGATTTAGTTGTTGTCTTATCGATTAAGCGTTATCGATTAAATTAACCCCAGTCATATTCGCCTGTAAGTAAAATGTGTTGAACAGTGATCTTCGCATAGATATTTATTTATATTGTCAAGAGATTATGTTTTTACGTTTTTTTTTTTTTTTTTTGTACAACTCTACTTTTACGAAAGACTTATATATATATATATATATATATATATATATATATATATATATATATATATACAAGGTCTGGTCCTCCTCCTCCCCCCAGTACTAAGTATGATTTAGAAAGATATGAAATTAATCCTCCCTGAACTCTTCCATGTCTCTTTAACTACTCCTTTTACACTCTCTGTTAAATTACAAAAAAACTTACACTACCCATCAATTTTAATTTCATTTTTTGTTTCATTTCATTTTTGGAAGTGCTAGCTGATGATCCGGCGTCCTTTAAAAGGGCTCTGGTGAAATAAATTATTATAATGGTACCTTAAAGTGGTCTGTTTTCTTTAATATATATATATATATATATATATATATATATATATATATATATATATATATGAACTAAAAAAAAAGAAAAACACCATAAATTTAAATTGGAACCATTGTGAGAATCTTATGGATTTCCCTATCACTATGTCGAAAATTTTTGTAGTCAGTGATGACATTGGCAAAATCTGCCTCCAACTACGTTGTTATTCTTGATAAGAGCTATGCGTTCTTGCAATCTTTGCTGCATTGTCATTCAAAGTAAAACTCGTACGCAAGTTTATTTTATCCGTTTGAGAATACTCAAACCTTACCACCATATGAATTAACATTTATTGTCTCTTCCTTTTTATACCGCCATTGTTTCATAGGAATCCTCCAAACATGACGCCATATAAATTGGTTCTTTGATCTAGGTTTCATTGTAATTCCCTATTTTCAGACGCTTACATCACGTTGAAAAAAAAACGTACGATCACCAAAGTTAAGCAACATTTAGCTGCTCAGTACTTACATGGATGGCCGTTTGGGAATACCACGTGCTGTAAGTTTGGATGTGCGAGTGGTGTAATGGATAATGGCTCGGAATTTTTGTTCGGAGCCGAGTTCCATTTCCAGCTGGGTTCGTTATATTCACTTACGCGCAAATACCCTAGGGAATATATATCCTCCCAGATATGGGTTAATTAGTAAGACATTTATCATTAAACCGTTATAATCTAAAAAATATTTTCTGGTTTGAAATAACCTGCAAAAGATTGATAAGTCATAGAAAATGAATGAATCACTGAATAAATAAAACCTATTTCCGAATAACGAGAGAAAACTGTATAGATTTTAATCAGATCAAGTGACAGCAAGTCTCCTCAATTTTCCAGCAATTTTCTTAATATTTTTGTTGTGTTTACGAATGACCTGAATTTTTAATATGATCAATAATTTTTCTATTATTTTTTTTTTCAAACTTAAAAGTGATAATCTTAATTTTTTAAAGCATTTCACCCCAAGCAAGGCGGGATGTCACTAGTACGCAAAGGATTACAGAGTGGGAGCGAGATTAAAGTGATGGAGGAAAAGATGAAGAAGAAGACAGGGAATAGGTCAGGGCATCTGGAGATGTCGATTGACATTACATTTGAATAGTTGGAGATTATAGCTATCAGGGAAACAAGTGATAGGAAGGGAAATCCCTAGATTGGAGGATATGAAGCTATTGGAGAAGAAGGGACTGCCACATTTAACCGTTTCGTAAGCGTAGTAGCACGCTTAAATTCATGCAGTCTTGGATTTTAGATGTCCTAGATTTTCTATGTCTTTTCAATTCCCTGGCAATATTTGCAGACTTTCCGTCTTTGTATTCTTTTTACGTCTTCACGCTATACTCGGTTGGATCAGCGATATCTACTGTTTCAATTAGTGATTATTGTTTACGATAAATAAATCTTGTCTCCTGAAATATGTCTCATACTCAAGGGTTTTGCAAACGTCAAAAACAAAGAATGAAAACAAGAATACTATAGCATTACAAGTTATCAAGTTCTGACCAGTGAGGAGTAATACCTTGTTAACTCACTTTATAGTATTTTTTTATTTTTTTTCTCTTTTTTTTATTCCCAAATATTAGTGTTGTAGTTTCCTTATCTATTTCTATTATTCTTGTTTTAGTCGTTTTGTGTTTTGTAGAAAAAGTAAGTTTGTTTATAAAGAAAACCAGACCGTTGCTTGTTTTTGTGATTCAAATATCAAGCTTAACTAGGACTTTTATGGGAGTTAAGTTTATATATCTTAGTAGCACCAGTGGTTCGTATTCCATTGTCAAGAGACCGTCTGTCGAATGCTGATTTTCAATGAAAGCTGGAATATTAAGCTTAAAAAATCTTCTTAAACATTTCCTATTTCTCGTCATCTTGTTTTGCGTTCGACGTATTTAGACTTTCTAAAATCAACTATCATCATTTAAAAAAAAAAATTTTTCTTTCTTCATAGATTTTAGAGGTCATTTGTCTATACAAGTAAACAGCATAATTTCTAATGAACTTTACTGAATGTTTATATTCCTTCAAGGTATATATGTTTTCGAAGAGCAAAGAACTCGAATTGATCATCCATGAAAATAATTTCTTAAAGCGAACTCTTAGCCGATGTAAATTTTACTTCACTCGAAAGCAGCATTTCTTGAAGTTAATATTCCGTATTCAGATGTTTCAAGATGAAAGGTTAAAAATAAGATTTTGACGGTCGTTTATGCATGCTATGTAAACTCTGACTGCTGAAAGAAAAAAAAAAAAAACGAGTTTTGCGCAGACGCATGCGCATTTATACATACAACCAAACCTCATGGTTAAGATACTCAGACATTTCTCCAAAGAGCTAGAGATCGATGTTCGAGCTCAGATAAAAATCTAAAATTATCGAATGTTGATATTTTCGGCGTGAAGGTATTGTCCCTTTTGAAAACTGACCTAACGCAATCTCCTGATTCCGGCATTCAAATAAAACTTTGTTTCGTGATAAAGTGTTGGAATTTTTTTTTTTAGAATATTTTCGTGGTGTTCGTAGTACATGGTCAGAGTGAAACTAATTAACACTGACAGGGAAGCAGATAAAAATACCTTATCTATATTTTGGAAGACTACGCCAAGAAAACAAGCGAGTGAGTGAAAGAGAG